ACACACACACACACACACACACACACACACACACACACACACACACAAACACACAGACACACACACACATCTTACCACACTTTTCTACCACCTGCTGGGTGACTAGCTCCTTCACTTCTTCAGCCTTGACACAGAGAATGACAAGATTCAAAGTAAGTTAATCCATTTAGCTAACTCTGTATATGTACAGTATGTATTTTAATGGTGTGTCTTTGTGTTTGTGATTGTGATAAACACGTACTGAGAGTCCAGGCTCCCCCTTCTCCCCTCTTCCTCCTTCAATACCCATTTTGCCCTAAAGCAAAAACACATTCACAAATGTATGAGCTTAGTTATATTTAAAGCTATAATTATTTGTACAAAGCATTTTAATTTGAACAACCAGCATCTATAACCAAGATTAATACCACATTCATGTCATATTGTAGCGTAAATACAAACAGCCAAGTGAGAAAACAGTCACACAAGACTCTCTGATGTCTACGATATCTTGCACTCAGCAGAAACACAAAGACTTTGTGAACAAGGAAACACAAAAAGTCCTGCAAACAGAAATTGTAGTTTACATCACCGTAATCAATGACAGATAAAATCCACCAATTTCCCTTTCACACACAAAAAGTGTGTGTGTGTGTGTGTGTGTTCATGCAAGACTCTCACACTCTGTCCTCTTAGTCCTGGAATACCGGGTCCTCCCCTCTGACATTGCTTCGATCTGCCCCTTCTGCCCTTGTCCCCCTGTTTGACAAAAATCAAAGTGTGTCCAGAGAAAACACATTGTGAGTTTTAAGATTATTTAAAAAAAAAAAAACCTGCTGAGCATAATGAAAGACAGACCAATTAGCTACACCCTTTGTATATCCTCATAAGTTTCCAGCTCTCTGCCAACACTGAAAGTCTGCTAACTGTTGCTGAAAGGACCTAATTGAGGAAGATATTGCTTGAAAGCTGCAGACGGAAATAGACCTCTACGTATGTGTATGCATGTTAATTAAGGACATGACTGTGCCGTCTCCACTGCTGCATTATACAGAGCACATGCAGCTAGTCTCTCTGAACAAGACACAGACATGATGATGACTGTAATCAAGCTCAGCTCATCCTCCTGTCCATTGTGGTCTGTCACATTCAAGTCTCCTCTTGTAACTTGGACTTTTTTGCACAAAAATATAAAGTTTTTTAAAGACTGACAGATGGCTGTGTTTGTGCACAAGTACCTGCTCTGTCTCATACAAGCATTAACAAATAAATACAGGATTATTGGCATTGAAGCAAGTAGATACTCATACATGCATTTATTCTCTTAGATAAGTTAATACGAGGGCATTGAACTGGCATCCAAACTGATTTTATTGTATCCTGAAAGCAGATTCAGACCCTGAATCCTCATGAAATGTAGTTAGTTAGCCGTAGTTAGGAATGTTCTTGGCTGCATATACTGGGTTTACCTGCGTTTAAAAAGTTATGTTCTTGTCATATCAAACTGTGCTTTCATAAATTATATAATTTAAGTACGCCATTATTGATAAAAAAGGGGACGTGACACAAACAGAGATTAACCGTTGATTAGAGGGAACTATTATCAATCTGTTATCTTGAGAAAAATGATGCAGTGAAGTTGTGATCAAGAGAACAGCTTGATAACCTGATATAATGAGGTAATTAATCTATGACGTTGATAACAAGCCCATGTTTTTCCTCCATTTTTCTTTTAATTCATCAGCAGCTCAAAATATACAAGTCACTATCATATTTCCTAAATACACTGAGGGAGCAGGAACACGGTACCTTAGGTCCTGTGACCCCTCGGGGTCCTGGAGGTGCTGGTGGTCCCTCATCTCCATCCCTTCCTGGACTCCCTAAAGACCCCTTAAACCCTGGAAAACCTGAGAAGCCTGATTCCCCCTGCATGGAGTAAAGAAGTGCATTAACACACTAAGACGTCTTTTGTGTACAGGGGAAGATAAAAAAAACACATAGTTTTTTCCTGGGAATTTAACAATATACAACTGTGACAAGCAGATAATCAGTAAAATGAGATGGATAATGACCAGTGATGTTGATGTTAATTTACTAACCTTGTCTCCTTTCACTCCTGGAGCACCATCAGCACCATTGATGCCTCCCTGTCCCTTATCGGCCTGAAGTGATAAGGGTGATTGTGAGTTTGTATACATTTGGGGAAAAGAGGAAACACTTGAATGTTTACCTTGCGCCCTGTGAGTCCATTCAGCCCAGGTACACCAGGGATTCCGTGTAACCCCATATCTCCCTGTTTTGCAAAGACAAGGTAATGGAGATTACCGGCAGAATTTCTTCACATGACATTGTTATAGAACGTGTAACTTTGATCTAACATGCTAATTTAGGCCTAACCTTTTCTCCATCCAGGCCTGGATTCCCAGTGCGTCCAGGTAAACCTATGAAGCCCTTGAATAGCAGGTAAAAGAAATGACAAGATAGTGATATCATGCAAATAGAGAACCTGAAACTCAACAAAAGATTCATACGGAGCTGAGGTGGGGAAAAAAATTATTTGTGGGAAAACTGTGACAAATTATAAGTGCTTCCACCTTTTCTCCATTCTCCCCATGGTCTCCTGGTGAGCCTGGTTCTCCTTGATCACCCTGTGAAAAAAAAGGTTGATTCTTTAAAAATCGAAAGGATCACGATTGGTTATATATTGTTTGTCAATGTACCTGATTGCCCTTCTCGCCCAGCAGTCCTTTGTCTCCTGTGTCCCCCTTGGCCCCATCATCTCCGTGATCTCCATTGCGACCCTTAAATCAAATTGTGTGTTTTTACTGTGTGTGATTCCCTGAAGTTTGAACTGAATTTTGGTTCAATTTACGATTACTGAATGCGTGTTTGCTCGTGTTTGTACTGTAGCTCTACCATCACTCCATGAATTCCTGGCTCTCCTGGATCTCCCTGTAGGAGAAGAGGAACATGTCACACACAGTACTAACATGAAAGTGTTGAATGGTTAAACTAGTGTTGTTGCAGTGCCAAGATATTCAAATGAACCATTATTTACCTTCTGGCCTACTGGTCCTCGTGCTCCAAAGCGCCCCAATGCCCCCTTGGTGCCTGCATCACCCTTTATGCCCTTTCAAAAAACATTTAAAAGACTTTCCATTGTTATGTATTTTTTGCAGTGCCGTTTATTATAAATCAAAGTATGAAGCAAACTGATAATTGTCTATCACAGACTTGATGATGACCTGTATAACATTACTGTTGACATCACATATCCATGCTCGAAATATCTTCTGGAAAGTTTTCTTCTTCTTTGTGGTTTTTAAATGTTTACATCAGGATTTATTACCTTGACTCCAGGAGGACCATCCTCGCCCTTTTCTCCTTTATCACCATCAAAACCCGGTAGGCCTCGCTCACCCTGAAACAAAACATCTACTCAATACTTCATCGGTCTTCTTATGCGTTTACTTTGTGAGCGCTTTAGATATGTTTGGAGGTTTATTAAAAGCATTTCTTTCGAATTCCAAGTGTGCAGCATTTGATTTGTATAGCTTTGACATTAAGGACATTCTTTTCTTATTTATTGTGTGTATATTTGTTGAGCTGGGTGGTGAAAGGAGTACAATTACCCTTGTAAGAACAAATAAAGTTGCATTGAAATGTGTTACTTTGTGTTAATAGAATAGATGATCTCACAGCCTCTCCTTTGGAACCTTTAAATCCACGGGGTCCTTGGATTTGAAGCAAACTCCCCTGTAGGAAGTGATTAAATGGTGAAACACAGCTGCAAATGAATGTAATCTGCAATAAATGATAAAGCAAGTAATGTGTTTTCCAATGGATATATATGGAGCCATGAATATGGTGTACTTCTTCTTCTATGATACATAATGTGTACTGTCAAGCAAACAAACTGCATGCAAAGCCCCACAAAGAACCATGGAAATCATCATACCCTTTCTCCTCTGACTCCAAGTAACCCATGATCACCCTGCAAAGAAAGATGTTTTTAATTCCCATACATACACTATTTCAATTCCGAATGTCGTACATATATTGCTTCATAGTTATTCCTGTAAATATTAAGTACAAGAGGTCGAGAAGTACATTGATCATCTAGCATCTCAGACATTGCAGCACCAGCATGTACACCATAGTGTGTAGATTTTTACAGAAACTGCATCATAAATAGAAAAACATCAAGTTACTAGTAGCAGTCCTTTGGAAGAACACACTGACAGAGGTCAGAAAACCGCATGAATGTATCAAAGTATGTACGTATGTTGCCTGCTTCAGCCAAACATCTATCAACTTGCAAAGTCTTGTTTGCTTAAATCAGTCTCCAAATTGGCATCAAACATCATAGTATTCCAGTGTTATAATTTCCAGTATATGATTAATTAAGTTGGTAAAATAAGTGAAAAAATATCAATTTTAAAAGTGTGTCAAACTAAATTTTGACAAATCATGTCAAATAACAGCTCACCTTTTCACCTTTGCTGCCATGCCAGCCTTTTGGACCCTAGTGAAAAAGGTTCAAATAAAAGGATTTTGTACAAAAGTGAAACTCTGATCGTCTTAAATGAAATTTTGTTACTCAGTTGTATGGTTTTGAAAAGTTGCTTACTAAATACCCAGGAGCTCCTCTAATGCCGAGAGTGCCTTTTTCACCCTGGAAAGAAAAGAAAGGAGTCTGCTAAATACAGTAAGGGTATAAACCGGGGAAAGATCGGATAAGCTGTCACACAAACTGGTGAACAAATCAGTGTGTGATAGTTTACATGACATAAACAAAGCTAAAAAATAGATTAAACATGTTTCAAGGTGTTGTCCCCCGTCACAGGGTTTGTCTGTGATGAATAGGCTGAGCTTAACTCACCCTTCTGCCTGGGAAGCCAAGCAACCCTCTGGCACCAGGCTCGCCAGGAGCACTGGTACCCTGGTGAGGATACATAATAGGGTTATAAAGAATGGTCAACGTTTTTCTACACTGCACAAATGTAAACAGTATGCTGCTGCTACGAACATAAATCAAGTTCTCACAATATTACGTTCGATTCGTGGGCCGATCAAAGTAAAAAGTTAATTCGACCCAAATATCATATATGCAGTATTTGCACCTTTTCTCCTTTGACTCCAGGCACACCAGAAGGACCCTTTATTAGAGAGATGCAGTGGTAGAAAGAGAAAATATCATCATTTCCAGTTGACATACGATCAGATAAAATGTCCCTAATATCAAAGAATGATTAAAGAGAGTCAAACAGTATATTTGAAAGAGTTTTACTCAAACTTCGTATGGAAAACTTCACTGTATATGATGCTAAGTTGCTTACATTATAAGTGTATTTCTTGGACTGAGTGAACAGCTCCATGAAAAATCACTCAAATCAGAAAAGCTTGCAAATGTATCTATTTGTATTTTCTTACGTGAGGTCCTCCTGCTCCTCGAGGTCCAGGAGCTCCAGGCGATCCATTCTTCCCCCTTTTCCCCCGATCACCCTGCGTCATCAACACACAAAACCTCTTACGTCTCTATTTTAAACACCAGAAGAACAACCTTCTCTGTCCATTTCTGCATTCATTCACACCAAAGCGAGCTAAATGGCAACTTGTTAGTTGATATTTAATGATGTACCTCCCTGCCCGGCTCTCCCGAGTCCCCCGGGGAACCCCTAAGTCCGTAGGAGCCCTGCATGCCCGTGTTACCACGAATACCCTGGATGCCCTGAGCACCTGGAGGCCCTGGCTCGCCTGGTTCACCCTGAGGAAGAGGAAATGGGAGAGAAAGATAGAAACTAATTAAATGTTTGGAGACAAGCACACAGTTAAAGTTCACTTTGTTTCATGCCATGTAAAAAATTCGGTTCTTCTGTTCATTTTGAATAATTGTTTTCAAATAAAGTCGATTATTTTCCTTTAGCAATTTACATGCTCAAACACAATTTTAAATGAGTGAGTGAGTCACTGAGCCAATTACATTTGCTAAATTAAAACAGCGATGAGAAGCAGAGTCAATCAATGAGAGAGTGATGGAAACGACTGTGGGGATTAATTGATTCAGAAGGGATGTTGTAAAGAAGAGATTGCTTGTGTTTTTTTTTCTTGAACCTTATGTCCTGGAGGACCAGCCTGGCCTTCTGGACCTCTGTGGCCAATGCCTGGCTCTCCCTGAAACCACAAAACATCATGTCGATAACATATTTCACTGGCATTTCTTTTAATTAAAAGCACAACTACCAGATTTCACTGTTAAAAACTTAAATAACGATGTTAATTACAGATTACGAGTATTTACCTTGTGTCCGTTTTCACCAATTTCCCCCTAAAAAGTGTGGACAAAAAGAGCAAATATCAGTTAGAAAGTGCACCTCAGCACATTGTTCTTCATGCACGTAAATACATAATAAAAAAAGAATTGTCAGCATGTTTAACAAGGGGAATTATTAACGTCTGCTTTACTCTACTGTCTCCCAGTCACACAGAAATAGAGCAGAGGGTGACATCAAAGGCCTGGACTCAAATGGCTTCACTGACAGGCATAATGGGAGAGAAGTTCTCCCTCAGCTCTGATGCTGATTTACTGATGCACTGTGGGTAGGTGGGCAGAGCAGCGGTGGTATTTCTATAGACTGGTGATGTGTGGCGACTGTCATTCTTGCTCTGTGATCTCACGATGATGATAATGATGCTTTAAACTATAATAAGTGAGGTGATATCAGTGACTCGGTAAATCCTGCCTTTAAATCAATGCTCCCAAAATTTAAACACTTACCATTTTTTCGTGTTTTAAATTACATTAGGACTGACTCTGTAATATGACAGTACCTGGAATTAACATGATGTTCAATTCTTCGTAATGTAACATTTCTGATTTTGTTTGCTTTACAAGGTTGACCCTGTTCAATAAAGTTGTATTTAAAATATCGTTAGTCACCTTTCGTCCCGGTGCTCCATTCTCACCTGGATGTCCCTGTTGCATAAGAAACGTAGAGTACATTAGAGGACATTTATACTGCCTACTGTGCAAAACACAAGTTGAGTATTTCATAATGTTGAGCATGTTTTTAAAATGTTGTGCCCTTACCTTGAGGTAAAAATACTCTGGAGGGTACGGCTGTCCAGTTTCTTCATCATAACCCCCCTCTCTCCCCCTCTCCATCTCCACCCTCCTCCTCTCCCACTCCTGCCTCTCCCTCTCCAAGTCTCTCTCACCCTCGTGCTCTGTCCTCTCCAGCTCTTTCTCCCTCTCCATATTTTTTCTCTCCAGCTCCAACTCGGCCTCCCTCTCTTTCTCCAGCTCCTCTCTCTCCCTCTCCATTTCCATCCTTGCCCTCTCTCTCTCCCTCTCCAGGTCCTCCTCCTCTCCTCCTCTCTCTCGATCGACGTCCTCCTCCGTCTCCCAGTCGTAGTCTCCACTCCTCTCCTCCTCCCCATAGACAGGACCAGGTCCTGTTTCTGCAATTCCATCTGTCTCTACTCCTTTCTCTTTTTCCATTTCCCACTCCTCCACTTTTTCTACTTCAGTCGCTTCCTCTCCTCCTCGTGCTCCTGTATAAATCTCTCTTTCTGCATCACTGTGTCGCTGCCTCTCCCTCCGCTCTTGCATCTGCCTCCTGGAATGTGTTTGGAGGTCAGAGTTTTCTTGCATCTTTTGCTAGAGAAACACATTTTATAACACAAACCATTGTATATATAAGTCGCAACATCCTAATTTGGATTAATATATATGTTTTAATAGTTGATGACAGACTTACATTCCAGCTGTTGTAACCTTGAGCTCCAGAGGACAGATGCTGAAATTAAAATGAAGGGGCAATCACATTATGCTCCACGGATGGTTACCATGAAATTGTATTTTCATACTTTATTTGATGAAATGTAGGACATTTTAATTTTTAAGACTGGAAAAACCTACTTTTTGTGCCTCCTTGAAATGCCTTCTTCCACCTGGGGCACCTGGCATGAACACCTAAAATAACAAAAAGATTTTTACTGCCATTTTTTATTATATATATCAATCTGTTTTCTACAAAACCAGGAGACACTTACCATGGTGTCGGGCCAAGGCGCGCTTTTCTTCACCCTGATTTGGAATCGAGGCACCTGTGAAATCCCCCAAAGCTTCTCATGAGCAAATCAAGCGCAATCATTGTGATGCTTCCTTTCAACCAGCTGTGGTAATGTGTGTGCTCGTGGTTCAAATGTAAGAAAGGAAGACACAAATTTGCTGAGAAAGTCATTTCAATATTTTTTTTTACTGAAGGATACATGCACAGAGAGGTTAAAACACAGACACAACAATGTATTAACAGAGAAAAATTTCACCAGTGAAAAGAATGTTTGACCTGGCTGCAGATGTGATTATAGTACCACTACATTCTGAATGACATCACTGGCGTTCAAAGATGTTTGGTGAAGTAACAACACAACACATTTCCAAGTTTTAATAAATAAAATGTCAGTACAACTTGTCAAAAGGAGATATACGTATATATTGAAATTGTTGGCACCAACTTCTGTGTTTTATCCGATGTCTTATTTGTTACAAAGAAGTATTTGTCTAAATAAATAAATTAGGAGTTGTAGACAAGGTTTAGGCTACACTGGCGTTTACATTGAACAAAGTGAAGAACGAAAATAAACTGGACATGAGGAAACAATTCATATATTTTAACAGTGCCTGATTTTCATTATAGCTCTACTCAAAATAAAAGCCCCCATACGAGATATGAACTTTGGTATGGCCATAGGTTTGGTGTGAGTGACACGGTCTCTGTGTGGAAAGAAGTCCTTCCTCATGAAACGTTGGTCAGGTTCAGGGCTCCTCACCAGCAAAACAGTTCACAGTTTATTCACACGCTCCACGTAGTGTGTGCTTTCTTATGCTTAACACCCTATAGTCACAGTGTCTTGGGACTTAAGAGACATCCTGTTTAAAAAAAATGAGACAGAGAAAGTATTAAAAGTATACCTCTCTGGAGGTGTTTCTTTGCCAGTAAATCATTCCAGAAGAGACTAGGTCACTATTTCTGCTCATTCCCATTCAGGCAAGATAGAGAAATCATGCTCAAAGCATGCCGCTCAGAAATGCTCTCCTGTCTCATGCTTCGGTAATGTCTATGATGCTATATTTCCATTCCCACTCTATTCAAATTAGCCTTATACAAACATGTGCACTTTGTTTGCACTGGTGAAATTTTTAAAGGAAATAGAAAGAAGAAAAGGTCTTGAAATGTGATGCCAAGTGCTTATTACTTAAAGCATGTTTTTTTTTTATGTTATTACATATATTATGACACGGAGAAAGTGAAGCCCATCCTTCATTTCTTCAGCACTTGTCCATCATTTTCAGGCGTCTTGTGTTTAGCGTTAATAAAAGAGATTCGCATTTCAAGGCATGCAAGGGTCTTCAGACACATTCAGTTAAGATTCAAGCCTTTTCAAATCAAATCAAAGCTCTACCTTGTCTGCTTCTTCTGTGGTGATGGGAGGTGTAGGCAGTGACACTTCATCCTGGTCATAACAATAGAGGACAGATAAGAATGTGACAGTGACAATAGCGCCTCAAGAGTGAAGCACCGCGTTGATTAGAAATTCTATATGTGACACCAACAAGTCCAGCTGCCCCCCCCCCTTACCTTTTCTATACCACCCGTGGGTTGAGATAGTGGCTGTGTGGTTGTCAAGAGAACCTAGGGGATTTGAAAAAAAAGGTTATTGAGAAATAAAAACACATTATATACACACACCGCTACACTTCTTTGTTCCGTGTATGTCAGCGGATAGATTGGGATGAGGGATTTTGACCTGTTTTATTGGTACTTGGTTGCGTTTGATATACGTTTATTATATATAAAATATATATGTAAATGTTGAGAACAATTTTAAGAAATAAATCAGACATTGAGTGTAGTTTCACCTGTGCATCTATTTGTCTGTCTGTGGAGGGTGTTAGAGGATGACTGGAGGCTCCCGCCGTTGTTTGTAACTGAGCAGGACTGTGTGTGGGTAATTGTTCCTCCTACAAAAGATAAAATGAGCATACATATGTTATTATTGCTCATAACTGAGCTCAGCTGTCTCTGCTTCCTTTCTATCAGAGTGCAGTCGTGCAACAGTAAATTACTTTTTGTTATCATCTAGGCTACCGATTAATAATCCTCCACCTTTTTATCCACTGGAAGAGGGTGAGCTGCAAAACATTTTATTCCCAATCCAGCTAAAACAGATGTTGTATGAAGCACATTTACCTGTCTGTTGTCTTTCCTCTCCTTAGAAACTGAAGAGTCACTTGGGGAAAGTTCTTCCTGTTTAAAAAAAAGGAAAAAAAAATATTTCATTATAACTTTTAAACATTCCCAACCTCCAGAGACCCCAGTGGATGATGTGCAGAGCAGATGCAGTAAGCTGTAATGACGAACTAATTTATTCTTAATGATTAATTCAGGTAGTGGGTGTGTCATTAATCAACTCTCTCCAGTGTTTAGCGTGGGCACAAATGATACGCTGCTATTAAAAAAAACCTGATATGATGACAGGTCTGTTAGCAAGAAGCCACCCACCACGACATCGCTCCAAATCTGTAACAACCCCACGTCATCGATCATCACTTCGAACTGAAGTTTCCCACAGTTCATGAACTAGTTATTCATCGCAGCAGCTGCCTACCTCGTATTCATAACTGTAGTCTTCGCTGTTATAAAACTCCTCTTCTTCTTCTTCTTCTTCTTCTTCTTCTTCTTGCTTGTCCTCATCACTTGTCTTTAGATAAAAGAGAAGTGACAATAATTACAGGAAGATACTGTTACACATCATCATTTATAATGTGCGTCGATGGCTGGAAGACGACAATGCCAAGCGATTGCAAAATAAAACTATTATCAAATCTGTTATTAATATAATGAGAAGCACAAGGACGTTAAGACAAAAGCATGCATTTAGTTTTACCAGCCACACCATGTATACAATGAAATCAAAAGTCTGCTTGTTATATCTTAAAAATGTTAGTTTATTATGATTTTTTAAAACAGTTTAAGTACTAAAGCTGTTATTTACACATAAATAATGTTATGTTAATGGATGTGTTAGTTGGTTTTTATTTTGTTTAGTTGGGGCAAAAGATGAGTTAAGTTTTCAGGTTTAGTTTGGACCCCTTCCAGGACATTTACCAGGCGTTGTCTCTGCCTCTTATGTCGTCTTTTATTTCCTTTGCCCTGGTTAAGAAGTTCACAGTCAGAGAGAAAAACAAATGAAAGGTTTCTCATGCTTAAGACGTTTATGATCAAGCATGAAACTATGAGGTTGATACTGCAAGTTGAGGGTGATGTATAAAAAGGGAATAGGTAGTTAATGAATGTCAAAAATTGTAACACTTTTACATAAAGATGTTTGGAAGTCCTTCGTGTTAAAGTTATTAAACGGTTTAGACCTATTTGTACAGGACCATACGGGCGGTTTCTACCCATTTATTACAAATCAAATATACTTGGAGGCATTCCATAAATTGATTAGATTATCTCATTAGTTTTTCATATATTCTAATGTCACTTGTTGCTGTATGCACTTTCATGTCAAGCACATTTAGCTAACGTGTAATGAAATGTGCTGTATGAATATAAAGGCCTTTCCTACCTTCCAGGCAGATACTGATCTTAGGTCATGACAGTATTTCTGTTTTTTTCATGAAATTGTTGAAGCATACTCTGTGAGTTGATTGTTAACTGAAATCGGTAAATACTTGAAAAGTAGGAAGGGTGAGCAAAAACATGAAATACTACTATGGTCCTTAGATATTATAAATTAAAGTTGTCAATCAAGAAACATTATTACAACTTGTTAAAACAAACGAATATGTTTTATGTTAAATATAATAAATGAAACAATACTCATGCGTGTTTTTGATCAGTCAGTGTCAAACGCAGTCACCAATAAGATGTCCATGTTTGCTCTACCTTCCCACGTTCCCTGTTCTTCTTCTTTTGTCCCGAGTTCTTCTTCAGGGAGTCTTCCTGAGCGAGGAGGACAGTCTCCGCCACAGTTTCTGGCAACCCTGAAACCGTCTGACAGGCACATTTTTGTTTTGATCCTTTTGTAATCAACAGAACATAAACGTTAGGCAACATAAACTGTATCTGACATCTGAGGTTTGTCAGGTTTTCAGTACTTCAATTTTTTTTTTTTTTTATCAAAAACGTGGCAAAGCATGTGAGAGCTAAGCACAGGGAGAGACCTTTCATGAAAATCGAATTTTTGGTTTCAAGGATGCTAATAATGATTATTATTTTATGTCAATGATAATGTTATCAGTAATGTAAGACACTGAGATCCCACTGCGCTAACATCCAGAAACTGCCGGGTGTGAATATGCACAACTTGGTTTCATCCCATGTTGCTGAAAAATGATCTTAAACTACCTCTGTAGAAACAAAACAAATATTAACATGTTTAATGTACTCAGCATGTTTTCAACAGTTCAGTAAATCGTACATTTAAAGTCAGCATACTTTGTTGTAAAATGTCCTCACCTCCTGTGTCGCAGTATAATTGAACGTCGAGTTGACCAGTGTCAGATTCATTTTGAGGGAAGATATGCCTCCACTGTTCCCATCCACCATCTCCTTTTCTCTGGAGCCCTTTAACTTGATGTGAATCCTGTCGAGCTCCCGCTCCCCGTTCAGGGTGGACCCGGTCCATAAAGTCGGACCCTCTGCAGTTTCACTTGAAGGGTCCTTGAAACCAAAAGACAGAATATTTTGGACTAGTAGCGTCTGCCTAAGCTAAAAGCAAGTGAGTCACGATATACAGTGCACAGTGGGTGAACATCTGGCGGCAATTTGAAAGATTTATTTATTTCCTGTTTAAAATGTATTTATTTCCTGTTTAAAATCCTGGAGACAAGTTGATTTGTCTTGGAAACAACAGAAAGACTTCTTAAGATTTTTTTAGGGTTTAAAGATTCAAGATGAAGATTTTTAAGTTACTCACAACTGTCAAAGACTCTGGAAGCGGTCCATCTAAATCAGGGTTCTCAATGGTGTCCAACTCTTTCAGCGGCTGGCTGGTGAGGTCAAACTTCACTGAATTCTGTTGAAACAAATGAATAAAAAAAACAAGTATCAATTTGTTCTTACTGCTCTTTTGTTTTGGACGTTTTTAATGACATAAAGGACTCGGGATTGAAACGGCTGCTGAAAAAAAGAGACCATGGAACTGACTATTAAGAGTTGGGAGAATTTAAAGTTTTTAGGTGAATGCATACGGGTTCAGGAAGAAATCATTCCGACTGATTTGGAAGCACAGCTAGCATCTTTTAATGTTGTTCAGAAAATATTTGTAGAAGTGTATTACAATCCCATGAGGCGTGAGATGCATGACACTTTTTAAATAACTCTCACACTTCTTCCCTGGAGTTTACGTACTGTGAACTCAGTGATGACGTTGGAGGTGTGAGTTTCTGTGTTTTCTTTTGTTTTCTTGGAGTTGCGAAGCACATGAAGCAGATCCTCTATTCCATCCTGCAGCAGCCTGTCAATCAAAGCCTTCAGCAAAGGCAGCTGGGGAAAAGAAAGTGTTCATTGAGAAGATCAAACTGTACTACACGGTTACCAATTCTATCAAACTGAAAATGTAAACAATGCTCAAAGCTCACCCTTATACCGTAGGCTTCAAACATCACTTCAATGTCCTAAATAAGAGGGGAAACATATGTTCAAGGTGCAAAACAAGAACATGTATCCTTGAGGAGAGATTAGTACACCCTGTGTTTACCTTCATCTCAGTAGATTTCCCTGGAGCTCCAGCATCACCCTATAGAGACATTCAATTAAATGATCATAATGTAATCTCATTTCCATATACGTATGATTTTGTGTGTTAACAATGATACACTACCGTGTTTCCTTTCAGGCCCGTTTCTCCTTTATCACCCTGCAAAAAAAACATTTTTTTTAAGCTTGCCATATCAGATAAAGGCACAATTCATTGCACCCCACAATGAAAGCACGAAAGTCATCGCTGAATGATGACTCAGATGCCATGAAGGCAAAATATGAATTATGCCATGCAACAGCTGAATTAAAGTGCCATTATTCATGAGCTATAAATATTCAGAAATGTGTTCTGTGTTCTCATCAAAACTCACAGTAGCTCCTGGAGGACCCATTGGGATTGGAAATGCTTCTCGGATGTCATCAATGGAGGCGCCCTGAGAACGGATTCATGTACAAATCAGTCAAGTTTGGGCTGTCTGGCAGGTCTAGGTGGTCCTGATTTATCAACGCTATCAAGGTGGTGATTTTTACCTCGGATGTGACAAGCACCTGCCTACCAGGCAGACCTGGAGGTCCTGGTTCCCCCTTACTGCCATCTTTACCCTGAGAAGGAAGAAAAACACTCAGTTTTCTCACAAACATAAATGTCTGTTTGTCTTATCTCAAAACCGCTTACATTTGCACCCGTGTCTCCATGGCCCCCCTGGAATGAGAGGAAAGTTTACAATTGTATAAAAAAAAACATAAATGTTTAAGTTCGTTGTAATAAATTTCAGTGACCTTTTCGCCGTCATCTCCTTTCGGTGCTCGCTCTCCCTGTGAGAAGAAAATACATTTTCGATTTTAATAATTCACTTAACAATAGCAGCACATTTAAAACATCTGAAAAGTCAAAATAGTACAGTCAGTAAGCGTAACAGTAATCCAGTGGGTATCATTCTGCACAGTGCTGTAATCGTTTGATGAAAATGTGTCTCACATCTTTTCCTGACAGGCCTCTCTTGCCGTCAATGCCAGGTCTCCCCTGTAGAGCAGATGAAAAAAAGCAATCACAATCTCTGGAGATGCTTTTTAAATGGATTATTATGGTGGAAAAGCAGAAGGCTTGTGCAAATTACACACCTGAAACAACAATATATTATGTTAGATTGGCTTAATATCACCATAAGAAATGTAAAGGATGGATTTGTAATGTTTAGCCGCAGGATCCGTGATTCGGAGAGATACTCACTGGAGTTCCAGGTAAACCAGGCATTCCAGCAATCCCAGCCCGTCCTTGATCTCCTTTATCTCCCCTCTGTTCACATGCACACATACAAAAAACAAGCCTTTCAATTAATCAATATACTCTTGACAGTATTAAATAGTATTATGTACTGGTACAAAACACTCACAAATGGCATATCTATACACACATCCGTCAAAATAAAGAATCTATTTCTGATTTGAGCAAAACATTTTTTGTCATGGTTAACTATGTATGAACAATATAAAGTTACAAATAAAACATTGTTGTTACTCACCAGACCAGACTCTCCTTTTTTCCCCTGGTCACCCTGCAGTTATAATGAAACAACTTGTGAGTGTAAGCGCATAGTGTAAATGCACAAAGCTCAATGGAATTATCATGGGCAGATTGTAATAATACAAGTAAAACTGTGAGCACAAGTTGGTATTACCTTCACTCCAGGTGTCCCTGATAAACCATCAAGTCCATTTCTTGCAGAACCACCCTGCAAAACAAACAGTTTCTTACATCAAGACAAACACATCATCGCTGACACAAACAGTATCACAATAAAGTTTAAATGACGCATAAACGTACCAGAGATGGTCCTGGTTGTCCAGGTTTCCCCTCTGGACCCTGTGGAGAGAGATCAATATTGGGGAAATTAACTATAATTGTCTCCTACCAAATACAAAAAATACTAACTATAACTTCCCAAAAGTATTCAAATTACTACATAAATCAGAGAAAACTAGCAAACCCTTACAATTGAGAGGCTGGAACCAGAAAAAATGGCAAATTCTTTGCTTGAAAAATGACTAACAATTATTTTCTTATCCAAATATTTGCAGATTCATTGTCTGCAAGTTGACTAATCAGTTAATGGACTGATTGTTTCAGTACTATCTGATACTTTAAAAGATTTCCCAGCTTTCTATGGTAATCGGGATCAGCAGGATTCTGAACTTGCAGTTTCTATGTTTGTGGGATACTCACTCTTGGTCCAAGCAGACCCGTTTCTCCTCTCAAACCAGGCTGACCAGGCTCTCCTGGTTCACCCTGAAGCAAAGATAAGAGAAGAGGTGTTCAATTAATAGTTTAAAATAAGTTAAATAGAATATAGCATAGTTATTCTTCACGCTACCTTAATAATTCTGGTCATTATGTTGTTGTCTGCAACAATCTGGTAGGAAAAAAATCATAAATAAAAAGTTAACTTGCTAATTGATGGACAATTTCAGCAGATTGAGAACAGAGATTAATTTTGCACGGTCTTATGGGAGATTGGTGTTTTTTCTTTTTCCCTTTATAAGCTTCGTTACAATGAATGCACTTGTCAAACATGGCTGAACTGATGAGAGGCTGTCAAAAAAAAAAAGACAACAGAGGTTTGTTTACTTGTCCTCCCGGAGGTCCAGGTTTTCCCTTTGTGACAACGGCAGCACGATCAAAAGAAGAGCACAATAAAACAAGAGTTAAAAATCTAACATGTCACACTGATAAACACGGCCCATATTTGCAACACAAAGGAAAAGCAGTAGGTGCACTGGTGGGTGGCAGACACAAAGAGCCCAACTTAATTAGTAAATATATCGAAATAGAAATCATCAAGTCACAGAGGGACAGCAAGTTTTGAAGATGGTGACCGAAACAGAAGGATGATCAACCAGGAGAAACAATGAACATGCTGATCATTGGCGAATACAAACATACTTGCTCCCCTTTGTCGCCTTTCTTTCCATCAGTACCCTTCAAGAACAGAAAACCAAAAGTTATCTTGAAACATTGCTGTTTAGGCAGATTTTTTTCACGGAAAAATGATTTGGTTCAACAGAGACAACTTCCACAGAAGTGACATTATGAGTTTAAGTCTAATGAAACTCTTACAGACAGGCCAGACGTCCCAGTGTCTCCTTTGCCTCCTGGGTCCCCTGGTCGACCTGGTAACCCCAGTGGACCCTGATCAACAGCAATTAAAAAGAGCATATCCTCATATTGCTGTTTGCATCAAAAGTCTTAGTAGACACAAAATCAAAATATGTGTATTATTCTGCCTTTAATCTTGGAAAACACAAAATAAATACCCTAATTCCTCTGTCACCAGGCTCTCCAGGTGATCCTTGCTCTCCCTGTGAAAGACAAAACAACGTAACCACTTAAAGTAAGTAAATTCAGTATCCGACTGCATTGATTATAGATCATCATGGAACTAGCTAACCTCCTGAGCAACATCGCTGACCTACAAACCAAACTAAAGCATCAATTAAACATCCTGACTGTACCTTAGTTCCTTGTTCTCCAGTTCCAGGTGCACCCTACACACAAAGTCAACCGTCGTTGTTAATACTTGTATTCAATACATTTCCCTGCTCCAGTTCTCATCCGTACATATCACACGTATCCCATATTGTGTTTGTCTCACATTTTAATAAATACTTTCTCCTGATGTGTTTACGAAAAAAAAACCTCATTAGGAAAATACATATGAAATGTGCTCTAGAGTACAAACAACTTGTATCATTGCTGTAACAGCCACTCAGGATTTACTTACATCTTTACCTCTTAATCCTGCTTCTCCAGGATTGCCGGCTAACCCAATGGTGCCTTTGTCACCTTTAGAGGCATCGCGCCCCTGGACAAACAGATGACTTGTGTTTTAGTAACAGTAACAGCCATGAAATGAAATAGATTTTTAAGTAGGTTTTAAGGATTTTGATCATTGCAATGGAATCCTTCATATACTGAAAGTTAAAAACAAAATAGCCACTAGGAGGTAAACCCTTGTTGGGCATTAGTTTCCCACAATATTTATACCTTGAGCAGACATGGAGCAACATCAGCATTAATTTAGAGTCATGTGACTGACCACCTGACAAAATCGAATATATAATCTTATTTTAGCTTCGATTTGTTCTCCTCTAACCCCAAAAAATCTGTTTCTTTAGCCGCTAAATGCTCCACTTTGTTCACCAGCTAGTTTCCAACTTTGTCCGTCTGCTGTTTAGTGCTAAGCTAGTAATGCACGTTTAGGCTTTTACAGCTTTTTTTATAGAACACAGCTGCTGTGACTGCAATGAGGTTGATGAGAGCGGTCAAAGTGAACCAAAACAGCAACATTTTAACAATAACATGAAAGGTAGAGTTTAGGGTCACTAGTAGGGTCGGTACTCGCGAATGCTTTCACATTAATTTTGCATTTGACTAATTTTTTATATAAAAAATGTTAATTGGAGCAGCTTTAAGAAAGAAGTATTTTTCTCTTACTTTGGGTCCTGGTTTTCCAGACAAACCAACATTTCCCTGTAAACGAAATGTAAAAGGATTAAACATGAATACAATGACCAGCTGTTTTCTGCTTCAGTGTTATATGATGAGAACAAGGTTTAACTTTTTCAGGTGACTCACCCTCTCGCCATTTTCTCCCTTTGGTCCCCGCTGTCCTGGAATCCCAAAACCAGGACTTCCCTGCACACATTAACACAAACCATACCTATATATTTCTAAAACAGTTATTCTGCTCGAACTGATTAAATATTTTCTTAGTAAATCTGAAAAATGACAACATGCTGAAATTATGATAATTATTTCTCATTATTAACCTTGTCTCCTTTGTCTCCTTGTTCACCCTTTATTCCCTGGGGGCCCGTGGCGCCGACTGGACCAATGTCTCCCTGACCGACAGGAAAAATACACACACATGGACACAAACACGGAACATCAGTCAACATGACTCTTGTCACCAGAACAAACAACAGTTCCCAAACAAAACTCTTCACTTTAAATGGCACCCTGTAGACTGAGAGAGTAAGGGGGTCCCAATCAGTGGAGTGTTCAGACCCACTTCAAAAGCTAATGAGAGAAAATCTTAATTGTGTTTGATAAGTCGACCCAGAGGACTGAGTCTGAGTGTCAAGAAATGCCCCGACCAATTAATTAACAATGTCTCGACAGAATAAAACATTAACAGAATCACTTCCCTCTGGCAAACAACTAAGGTTGTGACTAAATTGAACACGGTTAGATGATGTCACTAGTTTAAATCTTTGGACTAATTGGGAAAACCTAACCAGCATGCAACACTTTCCAACAACTTCTCAAAACCCCACATCTGTAGTCAATTTTGCGGAAAAACAAAATTGCAGAAGAATGTAGATGTGCTCAACAGCTCAGAGGTGTTTAAAAAAATAAAGAGAGGTGATGCATGGTACAACAGAAAACATGTTCCTGGATTAATAACCAAAGTGGACTTTGGTTACTTACCCTGGCACCCTTTTTTCCAGTTGGGCCAATTATCTGTTGGGATGAAAAAAGGAAGACTGATTGTGAGTCTAAAGTTCTTCTATTTCTAAAGTTTATAGTAAAGTAGTGTTCTTACACCCTTGGCAGGATCTCCAGCGGCTCCCCTTGGACCCTCGTCTCCTTTTAACCCCAATGGCCCCGTCAGTCCCTGGAAAGATCGAGGTGAATTAAAAATATTTCTGAATTCTCTATTGCCGTTTCTATTACGATTGCTACTTTATATGTTGTGCCAATCGACACATCAAACCTCTTGTTATTCCTCGACTTACTTTCAGCTCTAATCAATTCTAAAACACCATATAAACAAACTATCACTTCCTGCTATCTTCTGTTAGCCAGCACTTTATTAGCTGTTCTGTTCAAAGCTGTATTACAAAGGACAGGATCATGGTCCTCATGACGCCAATACTTTTGCGATAGTCACTTCCAAAAGACGAACTGCATCAAATTAAAAATCAGCGATGCATGACAGAATGGCCCATTTGATAAAGAGAGCCACTGAGGTATGACAATTTGACGCATGATCGTCATCATTGAAACCCCAGAACAAAATGGCTTCTTTATTTGTTCATACATCGTAATCTAAATGTCTGTTTTGAGACGTTAGAAAACACTAAATAGATGGTGTATCGACAGCATTTCCCGCCATTTGGTCCCAGTTGATGAATATATTGCTTCTGCCTCAGGCTTTATTTCTAATCAAAAACAAATTAAAAAGGGGATTTAAATATGCTCAGGTGAGTCAGTGGCAAATATGATTTTGTTGGTTTAGTGGGACATTATGACATGCTCCATTGTGCAGGCAATATGCAAGTTGTAAGACATTGTAAGCTACATTTTGTCTTAGCACTTCAACATGTGTATATATGTGTCTCGTCAAGATGAAATCCTCTCTCACTGTGGGTCCTTGTGTTCCTATCGGTCCCATCTCTCCTCGTTCTCCCTAAAAAGACAAAAGAAATAGGTATGCAACACTGAAAACTGCACGAATATGGATGCACACAGTATTAATAAATCAATTGCAAGCATAACTCTTGGCTGAAATAAATTGATTCTTTTACTTTATCATATTAATTATGAAGTAATTATGTTCAGACTGATGAAGAGAGAGTGGACACGTGTGTGGGATGAACTCACCTTGACCCCTTGCTCCCCATTGAATCCCTTCTTCCCCTGCAGGTAAAAAAAAAAAATCACTGGTTCTGAATTCTTTCATCATCGATTCTTATTCAATATTCACCCTTAAACTGGTTTACTCTCATGAGACTAAGCTGTAAAATAGGCATTTGAGGGCAAAATATGCATGAACTCATTGCTAGCTATTGAACAGAACATAGTGATGAAATGCACACCCGAAGTCCGATGATTCCTTGGAGGCCCTGCTCTCCACGATCACCCTTAAAAGATGAATTACAAATGTTATTTTGCAAACAGGTGTTTGGCTTTTAACCATAATGTCACACTCAGAGTGTTCAAATGTGTTTTTTTTTCATGTTTTTTACCTTTGGGCCAGCTGTTCCTGTTAAACCAATATATCCCTGCAAAAAAACAGTTCAAACACTGAAACGAAAATGGGATTTTATATTATTGCGTCCAGTGTGATCCTGCCCCACCTTAACAATCTTCCCCATAAAAAACAATCAGCCTGTTCTTCTCATTATCTTAGTAGATAGAAACCGCTATGTGGCATTGTGGACACTGAACAGAAAACTTTTTTAATTTCAGAACTTGAAAAAAACAGTATATTCTACTCTCAATAAAATTATCATAATCGTCCATATTTATGGTTAGTTTTGCAAGTCCATTGCAAAGTACCTTCTCTCCCGGCTCTCCACGAAGACCTTGAATACCTTGTACACCAATTCCCTCTTGACCCTGCAAAAAACAAAGAGTATGTATTCGCCATTTATAAGCCAGTTGCTTACTCACTACTTTGATATTTAAGAATTTTTAGTGGACTGGTTCAAAATGTGTATTTTTTTTAAAATCATTAACACTTTTACCATCTCCCCTTTCTGGCCTGGTAATCCTAGCACCCCATCAATGCCAATGGGACCAGGCAAACCTGCAATACCCTACAGAAGTTTGCATGCATGTGTGTG